AGAACTCCCTTTCAGCTTTTGGTGCATTAGAATTCAAATGCCTTTCCATTCCCAGTTGTGGGTGTCTGTGTATGTATGTGGGTTTGTATGTGTTTAAATTTGGTGTGTTTGCACAAAAAGATAAATTATTTTATTTTATTGAGTCTAAGATTCATCTTTTTCCATATTTAACATGGTTAAAATCATGATGAAATACACATCTAAGAGTGTATAGTTGTGTAATTGTGTGATTCTCTTCTTTTTAAGCAGTGCATAAAATGATCTTTAAATCAATGGGATCTTAGGTTCTTTGTAAAGTATGTTTTGCTGATCATTTGAGACTTATGAGCAATTAATAGCCCTACATTGTACCCTTTCATTTTTTGTTGGTAGGAGTAGAGAAAAATAACAACATTAATAAAAAAAAAAAAGACAATGTAGTAAGGTCCATGTTTTGTTAAACAATTTTTAGACTCTTTTAAACACTAGCATCTCCAACATCACAAATTGCATATAGCTTTTGCACAATTCTAATACTAGAAATAACTCATCTAGAAATATTTGAACAAATATACAAGATGGTCTTAAGCCATTGTCTGGAATTAAATAGAAATCACCTTTATACATGAATACTGAATATGCTAAATGCACTGTACAAAATGGAATGCATTAAATATTCAATGCATATATTAAAAAGAATAAGGTATATATGAGAACAAATGTGAAAACATATTAGCAAAATATTATTAAGAATAGTCAGACTCAAATGTATATTTGCATATGCAAATAATTGAGAAGCAATATACCAAACATTGATAATGGTTTAAGGGTAGAATTACAGAGTATTTTTATTTTATATTTGTTGTATTTTGTGCTATTTCAACATTTTATAATGAAAAAAGGTAATTAGAAGGTCAAAATTTTTCTATTTTTCATCACTACAAAATTATGGGGAGGGCCTCCCTGGTGGCGCAGCAGGTTAAGTGCTACGATGTGAAGCTGTCTGCAGCCTCTAGTGTGGGTTCAATTCCTGGCTGGCCAGAGAGAAACCCACATAGTGTGGCAGACCTCTCTTGCCTCACCCACTGCTGCCCTCAGCAGTGTCTTCGGTCAGTCTGCCTGTTCTGCTCCCCACTCTTTCTCTGATGAATTCTCTCACCCTCCCGCGCCTCTGATCTGTACCCCAGTTCTTGCATAAATATATCTTCAAAAGAAATTATGGGGGAAAATAATTTTTTATTCAAAAAAAATATTTGTTATTCAATTCCCAAGACAAACGACTTATTAAACAAGTCATGAGCCAGTTTACAAAACCTAAATGAGTTGGTAAGATAAAATCTAAATATGTATGTAAAGTGGGAACAACAGGAGACAGCAGTGAATATTCAGAGGGAGTATAAGATTTTAAGTTTATTTTATAATTTTACACAAACTACATACAAAACAGTCCCACATACAGTTTAGCAGTCATACTACCAATAAATCATGGTACTTCCTGGCAGAAAATAAGTGTCTCCTGAATCCTGAAACCTATTGTAGACCCTTAAATGGAAGCTATCCACCTTCTTGTTAATGGCAAGATCAAGACAGAACACATATGGAGATTAAATGCTCTTTGGAAAATGAGCAAAAATCAGGTTAGTGCCCTTTTCTTCTCCCTTACATTTCTGCAAATAATTATAATCTAGACCAAAACTCTCATTGTGCAGCTACCTCAAAACCTTTATATTCTCTCTCGTAGATATCAAAGTCTAGACTTTGAATAGATGAGTATTATGATTATCTAGAACAAATATGCTAACTAAAAATAGTCAAACTTATTCCTCATGGGATGCAAAAATTTAAATTTCTTCATTTTTGCAGATTGAACCAGATGATAATCAAGGAGTCAAAAAATCTTTGAGCTTAAGTGTCCTTGAGAAACCATCTATTTCATTACTTTAAGTCTATGATTGTGTATGCTAGGATAACTCAGTGATAGTTTTCCTGCTTAGAGTTAAAAAAGAAATGGATTCACTTACACATTAGATATATTTCTCATGTTTCCAAAATAATAGGCTCATAAAGACTGACCAACTGATAATTTATTGCTTTATTAAAAACTTGTAAATGCTAACCATATATATATATTACAACATCTTTAGTGATTAACATCAAATTTTAACTCACTAACTAATCTATTTCTAATGTTAGGAACCTTGGTATTTATCTGAGTCAAAGGTGAGGTGTGTTTGATAATCTGTGTAGTAATTAAGTCAAGACAAACTAAAAGACACAGATAACAGCTATTACCTGACCAGTCAGGGACAGACATTTTTTGAGTAGGAACAGGTATTTAGTTCAGAGGAACAAATTAAATCTGAGAACCAGAAAGCAGGCTGTCAGAAACCACATTCCAAATTCCCTCTGTCAGAAGCCACAAGACTTCCATGTAGTGACAATCTTATGCTTTGGACAGTTTAACAAGTAGTGAAACACTCTCTGATGGCATCTGTGCTGGTCAACTGTCTGTTTGCTCTCCAGCCAATCCCCTGACTTCCTCTTGTCTTACCCATGTTATAGGCAACTCGTTCCCTTGGTCTCTGAGTGGATTGGGACAGACATTGTTGGAAGACTGGGTAGCCAAAGGAGTCAGAATCTAGGGTTCATCTCCCCTCCAAACCTATGTGTATCTGACATGGTTTCAAGTACCACTTTAGAAACCCATTTTGGTTGTAGCTTTGAACTGATGGTCCAGGTTCCCGGTTTACCATAACAGAGGTTTTCATGCTTATCTCCAGTCTAGGAACTTTAGCTCCACAAGTACCAGGTTCGCTTGCCCTCACATTGCAATAGCCTTACTTTTATAATGAGGTCAAATATAGGTTGTGAGTTCAAGAGAAAAAAGAATGAGTTTGCTAACCTTAGTAAGAAAACTCTGTCCTGAAATTGGGAACTTTAGGAAAATACTACTTTTGAGATATAACTAATACCTTTTTTAAAAAATTATAAATTGCAAGTATATTCATATACTTACATGCAACTTATTATGGGCTAATACATCTAGTATATAAAATGCTTACATGAAGTTAACATATAAACCATATTTCACCATACTCACATCTCTGCTATGAAACATCTCCTGTGCTTGCTGAGAATTTAAAAAAAGAAAAGCAATTTCCTTCCTCAGTTCTCTGCCTCTCTAGTCAGACAGTTGTGGTGAATTTTTTGTTTTGTTTTGTTTTTGAACATAGTGGTAAATTTGGAAGCTCATAGAGACAGAAGAGGTTATAATTGATAGACATGTTATATTTTAGGCTGTAAGTTGGAAATCCACGCTCACTCATTGAAAAAGCACAAATAAGAGTAGGATTCCATTACAATGTATTTTTTTGGATATCAGAAAATTTATTTTATAAAAATCATTATTTGTGACAAATTTCAACATTTTTTAGATAGCTAAGCACAGATCCTCGCCAAATATATTTCAAACTTATGATTGAAGCTATCAAACCCAGTAATTCCCTAACAGGATAAATTAGAAATACATTATTTTGAATATTTTAGTTTTAATGATCCTAGAAACCGGAAGGATTTCTAGACCTATTTATAGACCTAGTCAAATATATAAATAAAACTCAATATTCTTGGTGATTAATTCTTGAATTTTAGAACAAAAGAATATCAACTTTCTAAAATTTATTTTCAAATATCCATCCCCTAGTAGTCTTCACTCTTTCTTGTATATTTTCCAGATTTTTTCTGTTACATAAGCCATTACATAAACAAATTCTAATGTTTATTTAAATACCTAGAAAACAGAAGGTGGTTAAAAATATGTCCATTAACTTAAGATCTTTTCTTTTTTTGCACAAATTGTTTCATTGCATTTTTCTTTCACAGTCTTTTCATCTGTGGTTCTTATATCATCAGATCCCTTCTTGCTTTCTGAACAACCTATTTGCCTTCATTGGCTACTGTATTCCTCAAAGTTCTATTTTCTACCAATGCTGAACATTTAGTAAGTCATCTTTGTCTGCACTTGTTTTACCACTTGTCAGCATCTGGCAGAGCCACTAAAATTTTCTTATACTGATTCCTCACCATCCACCAACATAGCTGCAGAATTTTAGCTCTGCTACTAAAGAATGTCAGCTTTCCCTCACTAACAGGAATATCCAAAGAAGCTAAATACTACCATTGGGCTGAACTTTTTCTATGCTTTTCCTTAAAGATATGAGTGTTCCTTTTATCATTCTAGGTGTAATTTTTTCTTACGTTTTTGAAACGGGTTGGTCCCATTGACAGACTAATCTATCTGTTGAGTTTAATAAATCTGTAAATGTTTTATATTATTAGCTTCAGCAATATTCCTTCCTTCTCAGAAACTTCTAACTCATCTAGAACTGATGTTTCAGTTCAAAAGGAAAATTTATTATTAAGTAAAACCTTCCCTTTTGGGGTCCTTCTCTCATGCTTAAATTTAGAATTTGCTACATTTATAATTTGCTACAAGCATTTCATTCTTGTGCTTAAACTTGTGATTATTTTATATCATTCAGAACTTTCGTAGTCAAGAGAAAGAAACCTGAGCTTCAGTTTTTGTGTCATACCATAAATGAGGATTTGTCTCCTCAGGACTTTTTTCCAAAGTTGAACATTCATGAGCAAATGACATATAAACATTGATAATTTTCTTAAATGTCTATGGTTAACAAATTTTAAAAAGTTAAATTGTTGTGCTGTGGTTGTTTTTATAGGAACAAGTTAGCTGTGCATAATGAAAGTAATCATAATATGTCCTTTAAGCAAATGTATCTAACTTTATTTATCAGAGAGAAGTCTCCAAATACTAACCACTTAAGAAAATGGTTAAGCATTTTGGTGGAATTGAAATACATTAATTCTACTAAGTACTATTTTAATTCATTCAGATTACTGTGCTATAAATACTGGACAGATAACTAATCTATAAACAATAAAAAATGTAGATATCACAGATAAACTGTCATATATGACTTACCATGTTTTTTTGTTCTTAGAATTTCATGGCCCCTCCTGGTGTCTGACTCCAGCAGACAGAGGATTGTGTCAAGCCAATGAGAACAGATTCTACTATAATTCAGTCATTGGGAAATGTCGCCCATTTAAGTACAGTGGATGTGGAGGGAATGAAAACAATTTTACTTCTAAAAATGCCTGTCTTAGGACTTGTAAAAAAGGTATAGAGGACATTCTTTCCACTCTAAATTACTCTTTACAGTAATGTATTAAAATTATGAATGAATTTGATACTCTGAAATATATCATGAAATTATTTCTATTTTTATAAGAAACAATAATGTGTACGTTTTTCAACTACACTTAGCTAGTATCGCTGAATGTTTTAACTGCAGCATTTTTTTTTAACATATCTTTATCTTTATGGAGAAAGAACGGATTTTAAACAAATCAACCTTTTTTAATATTTACATACTAAGCTTTCATTTTAAAGTATTATACAAAAAGATATTTAAGTTTTGTTATAATGCACAAAATTATAATGAATTAATTTTCATCTAAATGTAAAATGATGTGTTTAAAATAGAGTAATATATAAATAAAAAAATCTATAATTTCACAAGCCATGCACACAGAACAATTTTTTAATAAAATGAGAATGAATTTCTTATGAAAGATGATTAATAAAAATCAACATGCTTATTCATTTTTATAAACTTATATATGAAAAGTAAGTTCCTTAGAAATAGGTTATTCTACACAAAAACATCAACAAATTAAAAACTATTTAAACCAATCACATAACTTTGGCTTAAAACTTAAAAGATAATTTGAGAAAATTTTAGATAAAATGTATTATTGTGTTACTTTATCATGTATAAATTTGCTTCTTTTCCTTTCCTAGGTTTCATCCAAAGAATGTCAAAAGGAGGATTAATTAAAACCAAAAGAAAAAGAAAGAAGGCATCAGTAAAAGTAGTATATGAAGCAATTTCTGTTAAAAAGATATAATTTGATATTATTCAATATTAATTCTGCTAAGTATTTTAGATGAAGATTTTGACTGTGATTTCTACTGTTGTCTTAAAATCCTTTTGAATAAAATTTTCATGAATTTTCTATGTTCATACAATCTTCTATAAATACATTTGTATCAGAGTTGCTTTTCTTGTCAAATTGTTAATTATAGGTATATAACTTATTAACTGATTACTCTGAATTAGCTTATTCACTTGTTTCCCTCCTATCTGCCACTTAACTAAAGATTATCCTATCATCGAACACATCAGATCATTTTCCCTCTAGTGATCATCTATGTGAGAATATGTTGTCACTTACTTGTTTCGATCATATATATAATGTATCAAGATTAAGAAAAAACTTTTCACATTTAAAATAACGACAAGCACCTTCTTCTGATAAAAATCACTGGATTGTGCATTTGAAAACTGTAATAACACAAATTCCATGCTACCTTCCCTAGACATACTTTATTTCCTTCTGCACTGACAATACCTCTATCAATTTTTTTAACCTCTATCACTCTTGACTAAAACCATATTTGAACCAAAAAGACAACTCTTTATCATGTGCCTGGCTGATATTCTTTTTTTTAAATAAAATTTTGTTGATCTACCATTGTTTACAATGCTACATAAATTTTGAAGTACAATTCCTAACTCAACATCTGTATATACACCTCACCTCATCCACAATCAAAATTCTAGTACCTTCTACATTACCAAATTGACACACTAAACCCATTCCACTCACCCTTTCCCCTTCCCCTCTGGTATAAACATATTTTTCCACCTAGTCTGAGTCAATTTTTGTTGTGTTTTGTTGTTTGCTTTATGTTTATTCCACATAGGAGTAAAATCATTCAGTAATTTTCTTTTATTACAAAATGCATTTAGCTGTGGGCTTCCCTGGTGGTGCAAGGGATTAAGTCTCAGCACTATGAAGCTATGGGCAGCCACTGCAGCACAAGTTCGATTCCTAGCCAAGGTGGTAATGCACATGTTGCAGCAGACCTCTCCTATCTCACCCACTGCTCCCTTTAGCAATGTATTTCAGTCAATACACCTGCTCTGCTGCCCACTCTGTCTTTGGTGAATCCTCTCACCCTCTTGCACCTCTGGCCTACACCCCAGCTCTTGTATGCATAAATAAATCTTTTTTAAAAATACATTTAGCTTAGCATAAATACCCTAAGTTCCATCCATGTTGCTATAAAAGGCTAAATTTCATATATTTAATAGTCCGATAGAGTATTACATTGATATGAAAACTATTTTATCAGTTAACTGCCAACTGGAATTCAGGATGTTTCCATGTTTTGGCTTTTTTCTGAAAAATGCTCCTATGAAAACAAGGTACAGATATATTTTTAAATTAGTGTTTTCGATAAATACCTCAGAGTATTAATATTTTAGACTTATGGTATTACTATTTTTAGTCTTTTAAGGATCTCTTCTGTGCATTTATAACATCAAGTCTTACATTTATGTCTGTAATACATTTTGAATTATTTTTTGTGAATGGTGTTAATTTTTTTTTTGCATTTGGCTCTTCAGTTTCCCAACACCATTCATTAAAGGGGGTTTCCCTTCTCCGTTGTATGGACTTGGCTCTGTTATCACAAATTAACTGTCTATATATATCTGGTTTTATTTGTACACTCTCAATGCTATTTTACTGGTCGGTGTGTCTTATTTTATTTTAATACCTTACTGTTTTGACTACTATTGTTTTGTAATACAGTTTAAGTCAGGAATGATATCTCCAGTTTTCTTCTTTATTCTTATAATTACTTTGGTTATTTTGTGTTTCCACACAAAATTTCAAATTTTTTCATCTATTTCCTTGAAAAATGCCATTAGAACTTTGATAGAGTGGTGGCTGGGTGAGTGAGAGGAAGTGTGAGTCCAAAAATTGCAGTCACTATCTTATGGCCCAATCCAGGCTAAGAAACCTATGTTATCACTTCTCCCTTTAAGACCAAACCAAGTGCCAATCTATGCCCAGAACCTGTTTTCCAGGTCATAGCCTCAGTGTTGTGGATCTCCATGGTTCACAGTTTCCAAATCCCTTAATTCTCAAGCATCAATGGAATGGGACTACACAAAACCTTCAGTCATACTCTCCGTGACTCAAAACCATGTCTGAGGGTTTAATCAGCAAGCAGCCATGCTACCCCACCCTCACTGAGGTCGTTATCTGTGCCAATGCATGTACAACAAAGTCTATTCTTTCCCCCTGCTTGTGCCACCAAAAGGAATAGGCACCACTGTAGCCAGACCAGAGTTTCATGCCCCTCTTCCTATTCCACCACTTTAGCAAATAATCAAGCACCCACCTCAGAGAAAAAGATATATAGGTCAATTCAATGAAGTAAGCAATGAACTGGTGAGGATTCTGTGTGGGTAACAGTTAATATATAGTTGTGTTTAAGAAGAAGTTTATAGCAACTAGCTATTTCACATGTTCTAACATCACCTATGATTTTGATTAGTTAATTTTTTGGTTTGCTCATGGCCTGCTGCATCAGTAAAGATGGGTGAATAACTGTGTATTAAATACAGATCATGTACAATGAAACCCGATGGAAAAGGGAAGCTTTTAATGGCAATCAAAAGGAAATTCTTTTTGTATATCTCCTAATTTTCTCCTAGCAAACATAGCAAAAATATTTAAACCTACTGAAACCTATTCACTAATTATTAGACTTGCAACCAGTAACTCATTCTTTTAAAATAAAAAGGCACATTACTTCTATAGAAGAGGAAGAAGTAGTCAGCAACAAGGAAGATTAAACTAGAAAATCTATGCAGTATTCTCTGTCAAGAGTTTTAACCAGTGTTTCCCAGAAGTTAATTCACTTTATCCAGTTTCACAGATTTCCTTCTCTGCTGAGTAATGTACAGTCTACTATCTCAGAAGTTTCCTAGATCTTAATCTCTATTGTTCACTGCAAATTTCACATTTAAATTTGATTTGTCATGTAGAAACTAACTACTTTACCCATTTAATTTAACTTAATGACATCCCTTAAGCAATAGTATTAGAATTCTGCCTACTTCTTTGGACTACTAGTTTGAAACCAATTTTTATTCCTTATTTTCTCTCATTTTACATCTAATCAGTCTCTAAATAATATCCCTTCTTTTGTGAAATTGATACAACTCTCAGATTTTTTACCTCTATTGCATTTTTTTATATCTGTATTGCTTTAATTCCTAAGAATTAACTTAGTACATTTCTCTACCACTCAAAATCCTTCATGGGTTCACTAGTTGGTACTTAATCCCATCACATTCCCACAACTTAATGTTGATACATATATGTTTAGACTTAACTACACTAATGTTATGATTTTTTCAATTTAGTTAAAATTGTATTATCTGTTCACTAAATATATCTTTGATTCTCAGCTGATCATGCTAATTTGCTAATTAAAAATCACATATCCTCCAGATCATTCATCTGCAATTAGGGCCCAACTGACGTGAGCCATAAAATCATTATGTTTTGAGGGCCTCCCCGGTGGCGCAGCGGTTGAGCGCTGGGTTGCGAAGCTGCCCGCGGCCTCTGCGGCGCCGGTTCGATCCCTGGCTGCTCCCCGGCCACCAGAGGAGGGATCCACATGGCGCGCAGACCCCTCCTGCCGCCCGCTGCTCCCCTCAGCAGTGTACTTCGGTCCTTCTGCCTGCTCTGCTCCCCGCTCTGGCTCTGGTGAATTCTCTCACCCTCCCGCGCTTCTGACTGTACCCAGTGCATGTATAAACAAAACAAACAAACAAACCAGCAAACAAATAAATAAAGCATGCCTCTATAAAAAAAAAAAAAAAAAAAAAAAAATCATTATGTTTTGAGACAGAATATGAAAGACAAATCATCACTATAAATCATTTTCAATCTATTATAAAAAAACTATCATTACCAAAAAAGTGTCCATTTATTCAGTTAAGAAAATTTCTGTATTTTTATGTCAACCATTCAGTACATAAATAACTGCCTTAATCTGGGAATTTGCAATGGAATTTGAGACTTTTAGAAGTCAAAATCCATTGAGAAATATTTTCTATTATCATTTATACATGGATAGTAATAGCTTTCTTAGGTCAAGTGGAAAGTTGCACCAAAGGCATATAAACAGCACATTGATGTGTCTAACTTATAGTGTTTTCCAACAAACATTCATGAATATGTTATGTAGTCAAGACAGACATACACTGACATGGTTTGCAATGTTGAATGAATGAGAACATTTTTTTAAATATTGTGTTTTTAAATAGGAAGATTTCTAGAGGTGTTGTCTTACTTTGTTTTATATAATCAAATGCATCTGACTGTGAATATTATATAATTACAATTATATAGCATGGGCATTTATACTTACTTTGTCTAGTCTCTGTTCAAAGTGAACAAGTCATGTTGAAAACAGCACAAATGATTTTACTTTTTATATTATAAAAAATAAAATGCATTATTCTAAGTAGTCAATTTTAACTGCTGTGCTTATTCAGATATTTCTACTTAAAAAAAAAATACAGCTTTTCAGTATCACAAAGATAAAAAGTCCTAAGATGAAAAAAATGTTCCACAAAATCCAGTTAATTTTCCCTCCTTTAATTAGAATTTGTTAATATATTTTCAATGACAAATGTGCATAGATATATTATGATTTCTAATTTATCAAATAAGTATAGCATGATAGCATGCTTTGTAGCCCATACAGGCTAAATTTACTCCAATCCATATGTATTTCTACTATATCTTATATAACTGTATACCATGTATATTTAAATATGTATCATGTACATTTTATAAACACTTATGTTATATAAATGACTTTCAGTCCTGTATAATGAAGTTCTCTAGAATCATCTCTATACCAGTAGAAGAAGAATATGACACTGCTTTAGTCAACTATTTAGGGAACTTTTTTATTTTTTTCATCAACTTCTTCTGTTCTTGTCTTTTATAAAACTAGCATTTGTACTTAGTTTTTCCAACTTTTGAATTTCAGTTCTTCCTCAAGGATTTAGCACTTTCATTGCTTTTCTTACTTTCTGCTATGCAGAACAGAATTTGATCTTGCCAGCACCTCTGATCTAGTCTCTGACCTACTTTAACAGCGTAGCTGAAATATTGGCTTATTGAATTATTCAGATCACTTTTAACACCGTATCAATACATGGTTGTTCATTTTACCAATGACAGAAGATGAAAGACAGTCACACAAGCATTTAGTCACATAATACCATAAATAAAATAGAACATTAGGATAATGCATGTGATTTCTACATCAGCTTCTTACAGAGAAAATTCTGGACAGAATAGTCTAAAACAAAGCAGGAATATGAAAAGGTCAAAAGTATTTGACTTCATTATGATAGGATTCAGTGTCTCATGTTGTCATCAAAACTCAGTCTATCTTCACTGCTAATTCTGCTACTCAACATTTTTTACCTTTATATTCTTACCTCACAGAGTTTCAAGATGACTGTAAGAATTTAAGGGACACATTCTCTCAAAACAATGTATTTTAGAGAATTTTATACTCTCTTACCTCAAAAAAATAAATTAAAGTCCTGTCTCAGGCATGATGTGTGAAGAAATAATAAGCTGGACTTAAAATTCTGCCCTGCAAAAGACCATATCAAGAGATAAGAAGACAAGTCAGAGGCTGTGAGAACATATTCACAGAAGACACATTTGATAAAGAACTATTATCAAAATACACTTTGAAGTCTTAAAAGTGAACAAGAAAACAAAAAATCCTATTAAAAGTTGTCAGGGGTCTTAACAGATACCTTCCCAAAGAAGATATGCAGATATGAAGTGAGCCTGTGAAAAGAAGTCTACATTCTAGACTCTCAAGATAAAAGTCAGAGGAAATGGTTACTTCCTTCTTACTAGTAATTTTTTAGAATCAGAAAGCAAGAATTTTTACTTTCCAATAGTTTTTTCTTTTTTAATGTATTTCCCACTCTCAAAAGAATGTCACATAAAATTTATAAATGACTCTAAGGACATTTTCAGAAAGTTTAAAAATGTGGACTGCTATAAGCCATCTAAATAATACATCTCCCCAGAAATTGCTACTCCAGAGATGAAGAAATGAGCAATTACCATTTTTAACTAAAATTATCTGTCAGTTAAGTGATAAAATTTTCAAAGTTATGAAGCTAAGCATATGCTAAGAAAAATTTTATTTCACTCTTTTCATATTTCCTTTATTTTTCTCTTTCATAAGCTACACACACACACACATACATGCACACACACACGCGAGCACACACACGTTACCTAACTATGGAGGAAATCTTTAAAATCCAATAAATCTCATCACAATTTCTCCCTTACTTCTACTGACTGTTAATAAACTGTCAGACACAAA